GCACCCCTTTCACAAATTTTTCCCAGAAATCATCTATTTCTTACCACCTACACTGCTACCTCCCTCGTCCAGGCAAAATGTCACCTGTCACTGTCACATGGGTACAACAGCCTTTAGCATTCAATTTCTTTTCAAAACAGGAACCAACGGATCATATTGCCACTTTGGCAGGCTCTATCATTTCTTCTACTCAAAAAAAAAAAAAAACCTCCTAAGTTAGCTCAGCCCTCATGGAGCAGAATTCGGAATACTTGCAAAATTCTCAAGGTTCCCTCGATATCATCTCCTGTCACTGTTCCTCTTGCCACACATTTCTCTAGGGCCTCTGAGAAATTTACTCTTTCCCAGCTTGCCCACAGCTTATTCTCTGCCTCTGGAGTTTTCAGTCTTTTACTTGCCCTGAAATGTTCTTCCCTGTATCTGGTGCTCACTTCTTTCACCTCATAAATATCACACTAGCAAGAAAGTCTTCCTCTCCATTGCACTAAAAACTGCAGGTGCTACCCATCCTGTTAGTACACACACACACACACACACACACACCCCTGCACCCACCTACCTCTTACTACTTTTCCTCTGCTCTGATTTATTTGTCTGTATAGTACTCACCTACATGCGAATGCAGTACTTAATGTACTGGTTCTGTTGGTCCAACTTCCTTCCTAGCATGTTTGTTCCAGGAGAGAAGACATTTTTGTTTCTTTTGTCCACTGCTCAACACCTAGCACATACCTCACACATAATAGACACTTAATAAATCTTCGTTGCGTGAAAATAAAATGGTACCTTGTATTGGTGAGGTATTGGGAAATAGATACTATCATTTGTTCATATGGTCAAAGTGTTAGTTGGATTTACATATTTGCAATGTATATAAAATTTTGTAAAGATATTTTACCTATAACTAACCAATTTAAGGGTAGTGATTCAAACACTTCACGATCACGATCACGACCACCCTGTTGTTCGTCGATTGCCTCGAGCAGGTGCCAGTAACGTCTTCTTCGTCCTAGCCCTGAGATTTTTTTTTTTAAAGTGCCATATTCAAGGCTTTTTCAGGGTTAGGAGAATGAGACCCATCATTGTTACTGGTATTTGGCATATTGGGTATACCACGGGGAGTTTGCCAGACTCTGCCATGTGGGCATGTTACATTTGGTAGCCTGCCAGTTTGACCAAATTAGGAATGAGATGATAAGATGTCGCGCGGCCGCAAATGCGGCCGCGCGCTTCTGGGAGCTGAGTGTGATAATCTCTGGATCCTGGCCGTTGTTGGAGTTACACGGCAGTTGGTGGGTGTAACTGTCTAGTTACTGGCAGGTCCAGTCCCAAACTGTACAGGCTTGGAGATCTCAGCCCCGGGTCCCACACACCTGGGTTCCTCTGTCAGTTCTTTTATGCGTGAGGCTCATCCAAGTGTGTGGAGAGTGCTCCTAGCATGGCCTTGGCTGGGCCTCGGTGGTCTTCAGCTGTTGGGCCCTGGTGGAGACAGTCAGGCATAGGGTAGGAGACTCTGTCTTGTTCTCTCCCAGGAGCTGAGTGTGATGATCTCTGGATCCTGGCCGTTGTTGGAGTTACACGGCAGTTGGTGGGTGTAACTGTCTAGTTACTGGCAGGTCCAGTCCCAAACTGTACAGGCTTGGAGATCTCAGCCCCGGGTCCCACACACCTGGGTTCCTCTGTCAGTTCTTTTATGCGTGAGGCTCATCCAAGTGTGTGGAGAGTGCTCCCAGCATGGCCTTGGCTGGGCCTCGGTGGTCTTCAGCTGTTGGGCCCTGGTGGAGACAGTCAGGCATAGGGTAGGAGACTCTGTCTTGTTCTCTCCCAGGAGCTGAGTGTGATGATCTCTGGATCCTGGCCGTTGTTGGAGTTACACGGCAGTTGGTGGGTGTAACTGTCTAGTTACTGGCAGGTCCAGTCCCAAACTGTGCAGGCTTGGAGATCTCAGCCCCGGGTCCCACACACCTGGGTTCCTCTGTCAGTTCTTTTATGCGTGAGGCTCATCCAAGTGTGTGGAGAGTGCTCCCAGCATGGCCTTGGCTGGGCCTCGGTGGTCTTCAGCTGTTGGGCCCTGGTGGAGACAGTCAGGCATAGGGTAGGAGACTCTGTCTTGTTCTCTCCCAGGAGCTGAGTGTGATGATCTCTGGATCCTGGCCGTTGTTGGAGTTACACGGCAGTTGGTGGGTGTAACTGTCTAGTTACTGGCAGGTCCAGTCCCAAACTGTGCAGGCTTGGAGATCTCAGCCCCGGGTCCCACACACCTGGGTTCCTCTGTCAGTTCTTTTATGCGTGAGGCTCATCCAAGTGTGTGGAGAGTGCTCCCAGCATGGCCTTGGCTGGGCCTCGGTGGTCTTCAGCTGTTGGGCCCTGGTGGAGACAGTCAGGCATAGGGTAGGAGACTCTGTCTTGTTCTCTCCCAGGAGCTGAGTGTGACACTTATTCAACAGAAATATATGTCAAACACATAGTTCAAGGATAGTCACTACAACATTATTTTAATAACAAAAGGTTAAAATTAGGGTAAATATCGACCAGTAGGGTTAAGATTAAATAAAATATCAGGCCATCCATGTGACCACGTAACATTCAGCCTAAAAACATTCTCTTAAAACGATGAAGAAAGATCCACAGGTGCAGATAGGAATAGCTCCCCCATATACTGACAGAAGCAGATCTGATGTAAGATTGAGCCGTGCATGCCTTTGTGGGGTGAAAGGAAGGGGAATATGCTGACAAGTTTGCACAGACATAAATAAAAAGTGCATAGACATAAATAAAAAGCTCTTTATGCATAAGTAAATGCATAAAGAGTTATGGAAGATCACAAGGAAGTACCCAATAGAGGTTGCCTTTGTTTCAGGTTTCTTTTCAAAGACTGGTAAGCTTTATAACAATTTTTAAAAATTATTATGAGTATAATGCTTTAAGTGCTTTAAGTGGTTGCTTGGAGTAGCACAAGGAGAGCCTTTTCCAACAAATGGTGCTGAGGAAACTAGGTAGCAAAATGCAAAAAGAAGAAAAAAGGAAAAAAAGAAAGAAAGAAAGAGAGAAGGAAAGAAAAGGAACGAAACTGGATGTGCTTTTTACACCATACACAAAAACTTAAGGTCTTGTGATTAAATCAGCATCTATAAATCACTGAAGAAAACATAGGCAGAACTCTCCAGATACAGGCCTCAGAGGTGTGCTTAATGAGTTGATCCCAATGTCAAAGACAACAGCAACAAAACAAGCAAATGGGACTACATCAAATTAAAGAGTTTCTCCATGGCAAAAGAAATGTCACCAAATTAAAAGACACCCTACTGAATGGGATAAAATATTTGCACCTCATATATCTGATAAGTGATTAATATCTAAGATACATATAACACACAGAGCTTAAAAATAACTCTCCAAAAAATCGGGGAAAAAATTAAAAAACAAAAACTGGAAAGAGATGAAAGATGAAGAGATCAGATCAGAGAGAACATACAGATCAGATGACCAATAGGTATAAGAAAAAGTGTTCATTGTCACTTGTTATTAGGGAAATGCAAATCAAAACGGTGGACACCATCTCATACCAGTAAGAATGGCATATACAAAAAATATTGGAAAGAATTCTTGTTGATAGGGATGTGGGGAAAAAGGAACTCTTTCACTGTTGATAAGAATGTCCTCTGTATCAGCCTCTATGATAAACAGTATGCATACTTCTTTCAAAACTAAGAATTGAGGGGCTGGAGTGATGATCCAACAGGTAGGGTACTTGCCTTGACACAGCCAACCCTGCTTAGATGTCTGTGTGGTTCCTAGATCCCGCCAGGACTGATCCTTGACCGCAGAGCCAGGAGTAAGCCCAGAGTACACCGAGTGACCCCTGCTCCTCCTCCCAAACGGAAGCAAACAAAAGAACCCATTAAGACACGAACTTCCATATGACCCAGAGAACCACTTTTGTCCTCTACCCCGCAAACACACAAATATTATTTTGAAAATATGTACGCATATCTGTGTGCATTGCAGTGCTGAGTACAATAGGCACAATATGGAAACGACCCAAATGTCCAAACACCAATGAATGAATAAAATGGTGGTATCTATTGTGAAATACTATGCAGCTATAACAAAAGGTGAAATCAAGCAGCTTGCTGCAAGATGGATGAAACTGGAAGATGTCAGGTAAAGTAAAATCAGTCCGAGAAGAAAGATAAAATACTGGATGATCACACTCTTTTTTTGGTATAAAAAGAAAAAAATCCCAAGGGAACAACCAGTATGTTCTTGATTGCAAAACTGAGATTACTAAACAGTGGAAGGCGGAGGGAGGAGAGAAGAGATGGACTAGAGGTGAATAAAGACCGAGGTGGAGTGTTTGGCAGGCACTTTGGTGGTGGAAAAGGTGCAGTTACTTCGTTATCAAAACCGTGAAAGTTAACGCTGCTATCATCACTATACCTTAATGTAACAATAAAGGCAACAAAAACTATCCAGAGGGCTAGTATAGTGGTGAGGGCGCTTGCCTTGCACAGGGCCGACCCGCCTCCATCCCTGGCACCCCACATGGTCCCCAGAGCACCTCCAGGAGTAATTCCTAAGCGCAGAGCCAGGAGTCATCCCTGAGCATCACCGGGTGTTGCCCCCTCTTCTCCTCCCACCAAAAAAAAAAAAAAAAAAGTAGCAACCAAAACAAATCCACTTCTAGAATCCGCCCATCCGTGTTCAAATTGTTTTGACCACGTGGTGTGCGGGCGAGGGAAGAGGCTCTTTTTTTCCTTCCCGGGAGAGGGAAGCCAATAAAAGATATGAATAGATCCCGTCCTCCCCCTCCTCGTGCCCCGTGACTCCGGGGCTTCCCTTTTCCTTCCACCAACCAACCCGGGTGGCCCGGCGGTGCGCTCAGACTTTGCCATCTGGCGGGCATCCCGGCTTCCTCCTTAGAGGGCAGCAGCGGCGCGTCTCGGAGACGCATGCGCCCCGATCTGTGCCGGGGGAAATTAAAAGAGAGAGAGAGATAGAAACGGGGAGAGAGAGAAAGAAAGAGAGAGAGAGAGAGAGAAAGAGGGAGAGAGAGAGGGAGCCCCAGCGGAGCGCCCGCCGGTGCCGAGCCCGGGCCGCGTCGTGATGCGCACGGAGCGGCGCGCGACGCCCGGGCCGCCCCTGTCCCCGCACCCGGACTCCCGCCAGGTGGCCGCGCTCCAGCCGCGCCCGCTTTCGGCCGCCGCGGCGTTCCCCGCCGGTGGGGCCCCTCGCTCCCCATGGGGCTGCGGGAGTGGCTGAGGACCGCGTGTTGCTGCTGCCCGTGCCCGTGCCTGGAGGAGCCCTCCGCGCCCGAGAAGGAGCCCCTGGTCAGGTGAGTGCTCGCATACCCCCTCCCCGGGGATCCTGGCTCACCTGGCTGCGGCTGGCGCGCGCTTGGTTTGTTTATTTGACCCGCAAGTATAGTTTCCTTGGAGGCATTAGGTGGATGCTCTTAGTAAGTGCTCACCTCCGCGTCCCCCTTCCCTCCCAGCCGAAATGGGGGTGGGGGTGGGGGGGGGCAGGATCCGGGCAGAGTAAGAGTTGCAAGGCAAAGCGGTCCGATGACCTACTCTGGGTAACTCTTTGTCAATTTCGTAGTAGATGTCACTACTACGAGTTTCTTTCACCGGGGCAAAGAGGCTACGACTTTGCCATCCAAGTGTATTATCCAAAGAAGACAGTTTCAGGCACTGAACGAGAGGAACTCGATGTGGATTTCAATTCAAGTACAATTATGATGCCTAGGGGGGCGAGAGCTAGTCCAGGGAGGGGTTAAGATGCTGGCCTTGCCCGCAGTTCAACCGGTTTCCTCCCTGGTACCTCATCTGGTTCCCCCAGCCCCATCGGGACTGATCCCTGATCGCAGAGCCTGGAGTAAGTAAGCCCCTGAGCACCGCCGGGTGTGGCCCAACCCCCACTCAAATCCCGGTTGCCCCAAAGAGCTGCCTATTCACCCGGCTTCATTACAGGTTAGGCTGTGAACTATGAGGACATTCACTTACTGTTCGTTAAGCGATGTGCTCACAGGCTTTCTGAGGGACTGACTGTTCAGGGCTTTGAAGCCAGGCTTTTACATCTCCGACTCCGCTGAAATTCAAATTCCTCAAGGTGTTAACCTGCAGGGAGTTAGGACAAAATATCAGCGCCTTGGGAGGCTGGGAAGCAAGACAACACAAGCCTGGTCCCGGGTTGGGTGAGCAAATATTGGAGTCAGTATTTCTTAGGAAGGATGCAAGTGATTTTCACGTTTTCATGCCTGGCTTACTTTTTCTTAGTCTACCAAGTCCAAACAGTTCTCTTGACTTCTGAGACCTTGCACAACCTCTTCCTGTCCACAAGCGTTTTACATGAAGCACTCTATGCCCTTGATTTTAACCACCAGGCCGGAACAATCCAGCCTTCTTATCCCCTCCCAGCTTGCCTGGAGGAGTGACCTTTTTCCTTCTGCCACTTCCAAGTGCTGGTTCTCAAGACACCCTCAAGCAGTCTTCTTTAATTACTTTGCCCTTATCTCTGTGGCTTTTGAGTTAACATTGAATTTACCAACTGCCCTTCCCTGTTTAGTGAGCACCCACGCATGAAACATGTTTATTATGTTTATCAACAGTCACACACACAGTGTAGAGCATTTTATTTTCTCTTGTTGATAGCCTCCCATGTAGACTATTAGATATTGTGAGTGAGGAGAAACCTAGTAATCAACACTTAACTTTAAAGTATTAGGTAACAAAACCAGAATTCCATAATTTGGATGTATATTCAATTTGTCTATTTTTATAATAATGACATTTAGAGCCTCTCCTTTAGTTCCTTCTTCAGAGCCTTGGGTCTATGCAATTTCCTATCTTGATTTGCTATTTGAGTCAATAGTTCTGATTGTTGAAAATTCTCCACCTTTTCCTACTTTGTTCTTAATCGTGAATCAGTGAACTTAGCAAGTAATTTTAGGAGGATGAGGAAGATGAGACTCTTGGAACAGAATTCCATAGTGCTTATAAGTTAAGCCTGGGGTTAAGTCTCCACTGGGTAACCAGTCCTAAGCTTGGAACCTTATTTATGCTTTAATTTCCTCCTCTGTAAAGTGGGAATGACAATTGTCTACATTACAAAGGGCTACTTGGTTATTGTAAATGGGGAGTCTATGCAAAATGCTGGTAGAGTAGGGGCTCTCAATATGGTTTAGGGATTAATTATCATTGTTCTCCTCTGGGCACATGAATATGAATGACCTGGGTTTTGGACCATGCTGGCATCATTTCAGTAGGACAATTTTTAGGAGGAGCAGTGGTATGTGTGTGTGTGTGTGTGTGTGTGTGTGTGTGTGTGTTTTGTGGTACTTGCATGTTTCTTCTACCCTGAATCATTTGGTTTGAATTTTTTTTTTTTTTTTGTCCACACCTGGTAATGCTCAGGGGTTACTCCTGGTTTTTGCACTTAGAAATTACTCCTGACGGTGCCTGGGTGCTGGGGATTGAACCTGGGTTGACTGTGTAAAAGACAAGTGCCATACTTGCTGTATTCTCTCTCACCAGCCCCAGGTTTGAAATCTTTTTATTGTGTGTGGTCTCTTAAGAACTTTTTTAAAATGTGAAGTTCTGTGGTTTTTTTTTTTTTAGCATATTCACAAAGATATACAATCATCACCAGTATCTAGTTCAAAAAAATATTTTTTTTTCTTTTTGGGTCACACCCAGCAATGCACAGGGGTTACTCCTGGCTCTGCACTCAGGAATCACCCCTGGCGGTGCTCAGGGGACCATACAGGATGCTGGAAATCGAACCCGAGTTGGCCGTGTGCAAGGCAAATGCCCTACCTGCTGTGCTATTGCTCTGGCCCCCAGTTCAAAATATTTTTCTCACTCCAAAAAGATATCGTCACTGGTCATTCTCCTCTTTCTCTTGCCTGCCCTTCCGCTCTCCAGACAGCTGCCTGTCTGCTCTGTCTCTGTAGATTTGCCCATTCAGGATATTTTGTATGAATGGAATCGTGCACATGAGGCCTTTTCCAATGTACGTAATGGTTCCATGTTTCATCATGTGGGGATATATCAGCACTTCAGTTCTTTTTATAGTTGGATAATATTCCAGTGTATGGATATAATCACTTTTTTACTTATCTGTTCTTCAAGTGAAATACTTGGATTGTTTTTACTCTTGAACTCATAAATGATGTGATGAATATCTACATGTATGGACATGTTTTCAATTACTCTGAGGAGCGATAGCACAGCAGTAGGTCGTTCGCCTTACAAGCGGCCAACATGGCCGACCTGAGTTCGATTCCTCCGCCACTCTCGGAGAGCCCGGCAAGCTACGGAGAGTATTCGATATGCCAGACACAGTAACAACAAAGTCTCCAATGGAGATGTTACTGGGCCCGCTCGAGCAAATCGACAATCAACGGGAGGGCCTTTACCTTTACCTTTACCTGAGTATATATCTGGAAATTGAATTGTTAGTAACATTGCAATGTATTTTATTTTTTAAAATGTGATGCCTTTACCTTAAATTAAAAATTTATTATTCTTGGTCTCGGGGACCACACTAAAAGCCTCAGTCCCCAATAGTAATGTTATATTTAACTTTTTAAGGAACTGCTAGATCTTTTAAAAGAGGCTGGTGTAAAAATCCTTATTTTGTTTGTTTGGGTTTTGGGGGTCACACCCAGCTGGGTTCAGGGCTAACTCCTGGCTCTGCCTTCAAGGATAACTCTTGGCAGGGCTCGGGGTATTCTGTGAGGCGCTGGGAGTTAAACCCAGCTAAATTGGGTGTAAGGGAAGTACCCTACCCACTGTACTATCTCTCCAGCCCTGTGAAATCCTGGTGGAGTGAAATGTGGCTTGATGAGCTAAAATTTTACTCTACTGAGGACTTCATTCTTCATGTCATTTTTGTTTTCATATATAAGAAAGGTTTTGTGGTGATTCCTCATCCCATCCCTCATCTAAATCCTCAACTAAATCCTCCAACCAATGGCTTTTCAGTTTGCTGCGATGCAGTAGTGCCTGGAATGATGGGTATGACCAGATGGAGATGATGCCTGATATGTGTGCACCTGCTCTCCAGTTCTTTTGCAACATACACCAAGGTCTCTCATGAGTTCAGAAAAACAAACACATCGTGCTCACTAATCTGACAGTAGTTACTTATGCTTTTGACATGGTTCCTTTTGTTTCTTCTAGAAGAACATACTCTTCCTTACCTGATTTGCACCTGTATTTTCCTCTGTCCCCATAGTTCTTGGTTTTGCCTTTCTCTAGAAATAGGCTGAAGTTTTCTTTGACTAAAATTTTATCTAAATATTGCCATGTCCTGGGGCTGGAGCAATAGCACAGCAGGTAGGGCATTTGCCTTGAACGTGGCCAACCCGGGTTCGATTCCAGCATCCCATATAGTCCCCTGAGTACCGCCAGGAGTAATTCCTGAGTGCATGAGCCAGGAGTAAACCCTGTGCAAAGCCAGGTGTGACCCAAAAAGAAAAAAAAATATTGCCATGTCCTTCCATGACCATCCTTTGTGATTTTTCCCATCAGACACAAATATCTTAAAAATGATGAACTCTTAGGCCCTTTATCCTTCTGATTTTGCCTTGTCCTTCATTATATAATTCTACTGAGGTGGGGAGCAATTCGTCCCTTCTGTGATCCCAGTTCAGTGGGACTTGGGAGACCTAAGGTCTAGTTCCAGATATTCACTGGGAGAAGTTCTAGCTTCCATAAGCCTTAGTTTCTTCTTCTACAGAAGATCAGGATTTGGAGCGGTAGTGCAGGGGTAGGGTGTTTGCCTTGCGCGCAGCCAGCCTGGCCAAGCTGGGTTCTATTCCTCCACCCCTCTCGGAGAGCCCGGCAAGCTACTGAGAGTATCTCGCTGCACGGCAAAGCCTGGCAAGTTACCCATGATATATTGAATATACCAAACACAGTAACAACAAGTCTCACGATGGAGACGTTACTGGGCCCGCTCGAGCAAATCGATGAACAATGGGAGAACAGTGCTATGAACAGTGCTATGAATGAATTTATTTATTTATTTCAGTTTTGGGGGCCACACGCTCAGGACCATATGTGGTGCTAGGGATAGAATCCGGGTTGACTGCATGCAAGGCAAACGCCTCTACTCACCTGATTATTGCTGAACCTCCAGAAGATCAGACTTTAATGTGAGATCTTGAAGGATTGTTTTGGACTTGATGTAGGCTATATTCTTTAGGGGTTGTGTCCCCCAAAATTCTGTTGATACCCAGTGGATTCCAGTGAGGCTGTGTGGAACATGGGGTAGAAGCTTAAGACCCAGGGGGTGAATCCTGATCATTTGTTCTAGCCTTTAGCTGCC